TGTAAAATTTTTTGTTTATAAATTTAAAATTAAAATTAATAAATAAATTACATAATAATTTTAATATTTTTTTTTTTATTAATTTATAAACAAAAATATACATTTTAAAAATTTTTAAAAAGTTTTGTTACATACTGTATAACTAATCTGATAGAGAATTAATATATATAATAATATTATTATATTATTATTATTCATTTTTAAAATTTTAAACAAATTACTTTCAAAGTTATATTTAGAGTTTAAAAATAAATTAAGATAAATAAATTGGTTGATATTTTAGCTTTAGTAACATTTTAAATAATATAGTTTATTATATTTAATAAAGTATATATAACTAACCTAATAGTGAATTAAAAAAAAATCAATTTTAAAATTTTAATTAATAATATTTTAATAAATTAAATATAATAAAATTTTAGAATCAAAATAAAATAAATTTTTTAAAAATTTTAAATTTTTGATATTTTATTATAATTTTAGAAAATAAAATCTTATTATGGTTTTTTAATTTAATAAAATTTATTCTTTAAATTTATTTACTTATTATAAAGCAAAATAAATAAGTATTTAATAAAAAGTTTTCATAAAAAAATAGTTTTTCTTATTATTAAACTTTAAATTTTATTTTGTTAACTATTAGATTGAAAATAATATTAAAACTAAATTAGAGAATTGAAAAAAAATAATTTAAATATGAAATATTTGTAACATATTTATAAAATATTTTAAATAATAAATATTGCTTTAAAAATGATATTAAAGTAATTATTTTTTTTAAAAAAAATAATATTTAAATAATATTTTTTAATAAAAATAAAAATATAAATAATTTTTATTATATAATTAATTAAAATAAAAGTTATAATTTTTTATTATATTATTATATTAAACGTATAAAAATTTTTTTAAAACTATTTAATTAAAATCTTTTTTATTTTACATTAAATATAGATTTTTAAGATAAAAATAAATAAAATTTTAAAAATTTTCTTATTAATCTTAAACTAAAAAATTTTAAAGAATTTTTAAATTATTAATAAAATTTTATTAAAAATCAATTATTAAACTTATAAATTATATTGTTTATTTAATAATTATTTAATATAAAATATTTAATCCAAAAACTTTTGCAATATATTATACCAAGTTGACTAAGTTTACTATGTTACTATCTTTATGTACTCAAGAATTTTTACTTGATTATCTTTTTTTGTGTAGACTACAGACATACATGAGGGTTACGCGAGCCGTGAGTGATATCGACAGCCTCCGTTAATGCTTATCTGAAAAGGAATTAAAGAAATCAATTTAAGTGAAAACTGTGTGAAATTCTTTTATGTATACTGCATCATGATAAATTAAAAAATTTTTGACATCAATAAACTAATAATCGGCTAAGGTACTTTGAATTTAAACAAACTATTGTATAAATTTCTTTTAAAATTCGACTATGGTTTGAACGACCGGAAATTAACACCGCACGGTTGCAAACGTGGAAAATAAAATTCGATAAATTGCTTCATTTATCTTAATTAAAGAAACAAATTCTCTGGATGCCAACAGAACGATAGAATAACTCGAGGAAACCGTTTATCGCTACAAATTGATTTATTCACAAGCAGAAAATAAAGTTTCCTACATGAAATTCCGGAGAACTGTCGAATTCCACAATTGTAAAATACTGGCAGCAAAAATATGGTTATTATAATTAGCACCAAGATGTAGTCGAGGTCAAATGAAATCTGCTTCGAGCTTTTTTTTCAAAATGAACGTCTTTATTATTCCGTTTAGCGGGGACAGTGTTCGCATGTTTTCTTGTAGCAGTTCTAGTTCCTATACCATTATTTGTGGATAATGACGCGTACTTCGGTTCGGTATTGGCCATAAGAAAAGACAAAACATCCTCGTAAAGTGACTGGGGTAAGACTTTTTGAAACGGATGGATCTTGCTATAAAAATCTTTTGGAGAAATCTCATAGAATCTAACATGTGGAATCAAAGAATCCAACGTTCTTTTCAAATCTACAAAATCATCATCTGAAAACTTATTCACATCTGAAATGTTCATCTTCTCAATCCTTGGTGTATTGTAAATTCCCCATTCGATAAGCCGTATCCAGACATCTATTTCTTTCACTCTTAGTTCATCGCGCTTAATAAGTTCCAAAAAGATAGCTTGGTCAAGAGATAAAAAATACTTGGAAGTGAAAAGAGATTCGGGATCAGCACAAGTGGATTCTAGGCAATAATCCCGAAGTGTTTTACACCTGACAAGCTGAAACGATTTGTTCAAGACCACAATGAGATTTTTTTTAATCCAAGCATTTTTTTCCTTAATTAGGTAATTCTGAACATGAGAGATCAATTCCTTAAGGAACAATTTATTCGATACAAGCAGAACGTAAAATATATCGGAGCAAAGGACCCCAGATAAATCGAGAATTCCAGAATAGATGTATCTAGGGATAAAAAAAAAAAAAAAAAATCAATATTGCGTTTATCGTGATATAAAAAGACAATAAACCTTGACTTACTTAAGGACTAGCTTAAAAATGGTTGGAGAAATGTCCGGTTCGTTAAGTGAAATTATCTCATTGTTCTTAAGAACATCCATTTGATCAGAAATTACTCGTTTAAAATAAGGAGAACGCGTTCTTAAAATTATAGAATGTGCACGAAAATTTTGACGCTTGGTATTTTTCCCAACTGTGATGTTAACATCATAGTCATCGGCATCCTCAAGAAGTTGAGAATAGTCCTGTGATAATTTATTATATAGATCTGGTAACATTTTCAAATTTCGAAAGCAGCGCGAGAACCTTTTTATATACCATATATCTGTTATATATATATATATGTACTGTATATACTGTTTGTATGAAATTCAAATAGCCTTTGTTAAAACCATGATTAATTACACGTTATTTGATCATTAACTAACTTCCTAAAGACAATTATATAATACAAATATACGTGTACTGTACATACAGTAAATGATTCATTCTATGAAATAATCTGAAAAATTTGGTCACATAATGGGCATCTACGAGTAGGATATTATATTATAAAAACAACAGAGTACAGTATTATGAGTAATCATTAGTAATAAAATTACATGCGTTATAAAGCAAACGCGTCAGAAAAGTCTTTATGTTGTAAACTTTCCATTCACTAACTGGGCCTGACTCTTAAGATTCATTGCTCTTATTTTCCGCCCGTCACCACTTCCATTTCCTGCACAAGTAAAAAAAAAAATTTTTTTTTTCTGCATTACTCTAATTTTTAACTTCCAAATGTTAGCATTCTTGTGTAAATTTTACTCCAGTGACATTTAAAATATCGAAGGATTCGTATAAGGTTAGTGATGTTATCGGTTCAAATAAACTGGTTAAATGTGCTTTTTTGTTAAACAAAGCCATACCAATCCTATAAAATAAAACCTGTGAGTTTTTTTTTTTTAAAAAATAATTATTTTTGATAAAAAAATTTTAATAATAATTATCATTATAAATTTTAGTATAAATACAAGTATAAAGTATTAGTCATTAAAAACATATAAATAAATATAAATTAAAAATACTTGATTTATTTAATTTTGTTCTTAATTTTTATTTTTATTTTTTTTTAATCCACAGTCAGGTCAGCACAGCATGTCTTTATTGTATATATAGAAAGATATTTACAAAATATTTTGATTTTCACATATTAACTCACCTATTATCAAAAAATTTGTTTCTCTAGATACAACTTAAGAAATGATATTTTACTTCTTTACTGACTTGAATGAATCCTCTAGTCAATAAAATAATCACCTACAAGTATACCTTTTTGGATAAATAAGGATAAATTAAAACACAAAACAACTATACTCTATAAAAAGATAAGTTTCTAAAGAAGAAAATAAATAAATAAAAAAATTTTTTTTATTGATCCTTCTTTTTTAAAAATTTTCTTTTATAATAATTTTCTTAAAAAAAGTAAATCAATTTAAAAACACAAGGAAAAACAATATATTCTTTAAATTAATACAATAAACATGCAACAAAACTATTTAAAAACATTGAAAATAGAAATATAAATAATTTTACTAATAATTTTTCTATTTTTCTATTTCTTAAAAATTTTAGGAAAAAGAAAAATTAATTAGTCATTTGTTTTTTATATAAACAACAAATGACTTAGATTAAATTATAATAGTCTCAAGTATAATATAATTACATGTATATCTTCACTTGAGTAATGATTATTTCACATATCTATCATCACACTTGGATATTCTATAGTCTATAAAAATATGATAACAATTTTATATTCCATATCATCATACTTGGGTATCCTATGTCCTATAAAAATATAATAATTAGTTTACAAGTCTGTTATTATTCAGATGATAATTTGTTTATAAATATATTATTAGAAATAATATATCAATTTATTAGTCATAATTAATTTCTGTTACTGGATTATATAAGTAAAAAAATATATCTGATGATATATTTACTTTTGTGACATCATTTGTAAACATTATTTTTTTAAATAATATAAATAAATTGTATATTCTATAGTATTATTTATATTTAAAGATATTATTATTCATTATTTTGAAAAAAATTTATAAGCTTTTATTTATGTTATTTTCAATTTATATCAATTTAAATTAACAGTACTAGTTTTACTAATATTTTCTTGAAAACTCATTTTATATATCACATAAATTATTTAATGAAAAAAATAATCATGTAAATACTATACCTGATCATACTATATACAGTGCCCCTCAATAAATGAAGGATCACTTAAGAATTATTAAAATTAATTAAAAATAATTTTTTTTTTTTTTAACCTGCAGTCAGGTCAATATGGCTTGTCCATTTTATTGTAAACATATTTGGTATTTATATATTTTATGACTTTCATATATTGACTCACTTGTCTACAAAGTTTAATCTTCTCTAGATGCAACTTAGGGGATAATATTTTGCTTCCTTTATGGCTTGGATTATCCTTTAGCCACTCAGATTATTGCCTACAGCTCATAACTATAGGCCTCAAAAAAAGATATAAGTGATCTGTAAAATTTTATATGCTAAATACTTTAGGGACCCATCTTTATTTATCTGTAATAAGGAGATGACTTATGATGAATCCCAGATTCTTATGTGATTTAATAGGAACTAGATCCTGTTTTTTCAGTATAATACTTTTCAGCAGCCATGTTTAATTAAAGAAAATTTACTGATATATATCTTCTATTATCTAAAAAACTAGATTTTTCAATAATCTTTTTGCCTTATAATGGTGGAAGGGTTTCAAAAGTGAAAGAAATCCTCTTAGATTGTAATATTTTTCAAAAACTTTTAAGAAAATGTATTCTCAACTATAACCAAAGGGTTGAAGCTTAACATGAACTAGAGACTACTCAATCTTATTGTTTGACTAGGATAAAAAAGAGATCTTGATCTTGAACTTTGCCTGACTGGAATGATAGAAGAGAAAGATCTCAACTTGAACAAATAGTAACTTTTTATCATTTGGAAACTTGTTGCTCATATCTTATTGGTCTCATGGAACTTGATCTATAGGTGAATCCAATTGGAGAAGTGGTATAGACATGAGATATCAATCAACTCTTTCAATTGCCAATAATATTATCAGAACATGTGAGATAACTAATAGAGGTTTGTTTACATTTAGTTATTAACATGTTTTGTGTCAATTTATCAGATGCCAGGTAATATTGTGCTATCAAAAATTCAGGGTCAAACTGAAATAGGTAAAATCACTCAAGAAAACTATGAAAAACAGTTGATACTTTAAAAGGATACATAGATAGTATGTGAGAAGGTGGATAATAAGTCTTTCCCTATCAACAAAACCTCTATTTCTTGTCATTTCTAGCTTTGTAAGATGACACTTCACTTGTCAATCCTTTTACTTTCTAGAACCTTCTTGCCCTTAGTAAAAGAGTGTGTACTTGAGTCTTTTTAGGTCACTAGAGACTCAAGTTTTTATTCAAAGGAGTTTATAAACAAGTAAGGAAAGATAGAAGAAATGTGTAAAGGCAAGTTTCAAATTGTTTTAATGAAAGTATAAAGACTTTATTAGTAAAGAAATATAAAATTTATTGCAAACATCTTTTTTGTGTATAGTTAAAGGATCAGTGAAAAGAGTTTTTTCGATTATTATTTTAAGTAGTTTTATTTTTTATATTCATAAATATATACAATAAATATTTTTTTTATTAAATAGTTATTAAATTATAAGTAAAAATAAAACAAATTACTAAAAAATAAAAACTTTTTCCACTGATCCTCTGATCATATACAAAAAAGATGTTTAAAAGAAGTTTTTATACTTCCTTGCTAATAAAGTCTTAACACTTAAAACAACTTGAAATATAACTTCAAGAGTTACTTCTACCCTTCCTCTATTATCTATAAACCTCTTTACTCAAAAACTTCACTTCTAGTGATCAAGAAAAGTCAAATAACATCTTTGATACCAATGGTAAGAAAGTTCCCAAAGGAAGAAAAACTGACTGTAAAGTACCTGAAGGTCTTTCTAACCTTTGAAATGAGAGGCTTATAGAGGTTTTCTGTAGTAAAAAGATTTATTTTCTTCCTTTTTGACTGTCTTGACCCTCTTAGAGCTCACATTTTTATAGTTTTTTGAAGAATTTTATCTATCTCAGTTTGACCCTGAATTTTGGATAGCATAAATCCTCACTAAAGGTGATTGGCTAACACAAAACTTATCAGTTTTTGGAATATAAACAAGCTCCTATTGATTATACTCATGTGTCTTGATATATTATTGGTAATATAGAAAAGAAAGTTTTAGAAAAAGTGTCACATTCAATTATATATGTTCAACCTCCAAGAAACAATTATGATACTGAAAGGCGAGTGATGAGTAGGAATAGAAGATCCAACTCCCATCTCTTATTAAGTTCCTTAGGTAGTGAAAAGAATTTTTTAAACAAAAGCTGAGGTCTCCAAGCTTTTATCCCAGTTAGGCAAAGTTCTTGAAAAGATTTCTTTATCCTGATTAGACAAACTCTTTTGTAATATTGCACTGGTTCAAGTAGCATTAAGTGAATCCATACATTGGCAGAAGAATAAGTTCCTCAAATGTTCTTCTTAAAGTTATTTTCAGAAATGGTTAAGTTCCTTAAATATTATGAAGCTTAGAGAATATCCCAATTAGACAAACTCTTTTCAAGAGAAAATCATGAAATAGAGCAAGAATATTTTGAAGAGCTTTAAATTTTATTTTCCTTTCTTCTTTTTTTTCCAGTATCAACTTTAGTAATTCATTATTTTTCAGGATAATCAATAGCAGCAAACTGTTGGTAATGGCTCTAGTTAACTTAGAAATTCTATGCCAAGCTACTAGAAGAGCATAATATTGTTTCCTAAATCTGACTTAGAGTACCTAGTTTAGACTTAATTTTTTTTAGTCCAAACTAGCTTAGTGGACTCTTCATATTTTTTAAGTAGTATAATCTTTTAACTAATAATGTACAATGATGAGTTAGTTGCTTTTTGAAAGTCTGTAAATATTGTAATATAGTATTTTTCAATATCTCAATAAAGACATGCTATTGTGACATGATTATGGATTTAAAAAAAAATAAATAAATAAAAATAAAACAGTAAAATGTTTTGTCCCAAATTATATATAGTATTAAAAAATACAAATTTTATAAAAATATAAATATATACTTAAACAATAATTAAAAAATTTAAAAAAATTTATTAAAAATTAAACAAAAATTAGATCTAGACTAAA